TACTACCTCCAACTGTACCTCCCCACAGAACTAAAGGCAATAACTGACTGATGAATTATAATTATTTTGTATTGCACAACGCAATTTATAAAACCAATTTTTGTTTCGGTTTATTATTATTATTATTATGAAAATTAATTGCTGTGTTATTACATTATCTTATTATTGTAATTATTATTATTAAATATTTCTATGAAATAATTATGACCGTACTGTACATATCACAAACCAACAGTACACGTACATATGTAGGAAGAGCCGTGGTGATGTCTCTAATTAATGCTCACCACTCGGCCTCTCCAGCTGTCTTAGTGAATATATAGTCGTGACCATTCAGATGCATGATACCATCCTTCAAAGCAAATTTCCATTTAGCACGCACACGATACACCTGGAGATGATGTGATTAGGAGAAAGAGAGAGAATATTTGATTTTTTATTTTATAAAAATGATGAAATTAAACAACAGTTATTAAAAACATACACATAAAATTAAACATTGTCAAAAATTTACTTATTAAATATAAAATGAACATAGAAATGAGTGCTCTCTTACCTTCTCAAACTGACAGACGATGGTATTGTCAGTTTCCCATACGTCATCTTCTTCATCACTCTCAGCATCATCTTCGGAATTCAATGGATCCTCATCATCTTCCTATGATACATGTACATTATGGTAATGGTATCAGTAAAAATTCTAATTTTAATTGGAATCAGCTCAAACTTTCTACACAGCATAAGTACATGTATATGCATCAGAAAAAATGATAAAAATGGAAAATTTATCTCCTAGCTGTACTATAATGGTCAATAATGCAAGGCACTGAGTAGCACCAAAATCCCGTGGGAAATATAAAGTATATGTTGTACATGCATTTGAATAATGAAGCAAATGATCTTAATTGACATGTTTTACAAATTCTCTGTCTCCCTCTCACTTGTTCTCCTTCAATATCATCAGGGTCACTCTCAGAGGATTCATCAGAGTCCTCACTGCTGCTCCCGTCAGGAGGAGGAGGGGGTCCATCAAGCTGAGGTATACTAGTGGGGTCTTTAGTACCAGTTCTATGAGAGACAGACCGGGACTTTCTCTTTGAAGAAGAGAAGAAATGAGAGGGAGTTATACCAGCTGGTAATTCAAACGAGATCACAGGGAGAGAAGAATCTTCAGTAGAAGATACTTCATTTGAATCGGATCCTTTGGTCTCTTTTGAAGAGTGTTTGCCAGGAGGGATTAAAGGGCGTGGTCCATCTGACTGAGTGATGTTATTAGAACTACTCGTCTCGCTAGAAGTGCTAGGAGGTATGGTACCAGGTAGGTTGAGTGCTATCGGTACGTATTGTAGACCAGTTGGAGTAGGAACTGCAGCATACGGTATACCGCCATGTTGAACCAGGGACAGACCACCACCAGGTAGCTATAGTAGATAAAACAAAAAATTCACTTTAAAAACTTCTTAAAACATAAAATTTACTTTAAAATTCAAAATAATTATACATGTACTTTATCTTACCATAACAGGCAGTGTAGCTGCAGCTCCACCCACTGGGTTAGCCGTACCCCCTGTAATAGCGGAGTAGATAGCTTGTTGAGCAAGAGCCATGTTAAGAAAAGGTGGAGTATTAGCAGCCCCAACTCCTGTAATCTGGGGCGGAGTCTGAGAGGGTGTGGCTTGAGACACGCCTCCAGTCCCGCCCGATGAACGGGATGAGCTGTTAAGAGGAGGAGTGAAACTGACAGTCGATGATGTAGTGGGTGTGGTCATTGCCGAGGAAAGTGAAGGGCGGGGTGGAGCCTGTTGTATTACAGAGGCAGCAGGAGTATTAGAGGCAGAGGCAGGAGAAGAGTGAGTGATGGCTGGTGTAGAGGAAGTGGGTTGCTGTGAATGTTGCTGCTGCTGTTGGGTTGACTAAAGTAAAGAATAAATGAATAATGATAATAATTATTAATACATAATGTACATGTACTTGTATTGTAGTGTAAAATTGTGGGTTTAGCGGCAAAATTTATTATTTTTTCTTGCTAGATTTACAACCAAACAATGCACAAGATATAAAATAACAAAACGACGTTAAAATATTACACAGAAATAACATACCATGCAAAAAAATAACATACAGGATGTACATGTACATGTAAATATACATGCATAACATATTGATTTAGATGTATACATTAAGAGTTTATGATAAATTGATAATGCACATACATGTAACGTTAGTATACATTTCAAGTAATCTTCTGTGATATGTAACACAGTTTATAACATGGTAGTCTAAGGTCACTCATTTAAGCAGCAATGGCTGTCAGAAGAGACAAACCACAACAGTAAAGATCTCAAATGTCACACTGTTACGATCATGTAATGGTGGATAGTATAGACTACAGCACTGTGTGAGGAAACTCAGTAATAAAGTTAATGTTTAATTAATTATGAGTTAGAGGACAGGGATTATTATCCCTTCCAAAAATTGTTAAAACTAAATGAAGACAGCATAGAATCTTAAAACACATAGATGATTATGCAGCAGTTATATGCTGTCATTTTTGATAAGTTCATTGTGGGTTGCACCCTACAGTGCATCTATAATGATATTCATAGGTAACCATTGGCAACATTAACACTTTCACAACAATGATCATTGTATTACAGTAATTAGTAACAAACCCTAAAATAAAATATAAAGTAAATTTATAGCAATGCATTAATATCTACTCTTAAAAAGAGATCACTATAACACAAAAGGAACTCAAACAAGATGAATGACATGCAACTATGAATTGTACATGTATAGATATCCTTATTTTAGGCTTGGAATCTCCACTATACATAACTACTCATTATCATAATCATCAAATCAAAGGTGAACAGTACAAAATAATAATACAGTAGTCACCCTTTTGAGTGATGACCCTCATGAAAGACCACTTTATTAGTTCATGATCACTTTTAGATGAATAACCACCACCTCCTCTCTCTTGTAACACTAGCATTTCCCGGGACGAGAGGGTGGTCACTCAAAAAGGAGGGACCACAGTAATAATGAATAATAATAATAATAATAATAATAATAATAATAATAACAGCATGTGTACCTTGTTTTGTTTATCCTGGCTAATCGTTTCTTTGATCGGGTGTGCCTCAGCAGGTTTCATAGGTCGACTAAGAGCACCACTCTGTACTAACTTATTCTCCCACAACTAATGGAGGGAGGGAGGGATTTCGGATTAATTATGCTTAAAGTTTAAATATCCCCGGGCACTGACCTGTTTGAGGTCCTCCAATACTTGCGTGTCAGCTCCTTCGTTGAGAAAGTCCTCCCTCACATTCTTCATGACATCATCTACCACCCATTTATAGACTCCAAGCTACAATAGAACAATATCACCATTCAATAAACAACCAGAAACAAAAATAATCATTATTTTATCTACACGTATATCTATTCTATTGTTAAAGTGTTTTATAAGTTTACTGGCCCTTTTCTCACCATTTGCTCAAGACTTGTCTGTCCTGAAGACATTCTTTCCCTCTCTCCGACCCGTCCTTGTCTCTCCTGCTCCTTTTATAGTTGAAGACTTGCTCGGACTAGCTTTATACCTTACAGCAACCGGAAATGAAATTTTAAAAATACCAGACCGCAATCTTATAACTAGGTGCAATACGGTACACCACCACCCATTCGAAAAATTAGAACAAAATACGGTTCTCATCAAAATAATAATAATAAGGGAATAAAATTATTGTAATCAATAATAATTATTATTATGTTCCTTGTTTCGTATTTTAATATAACAATTAATAATAATAATATAAATAATAATAGATAATAATAATAATGATCATAACAATGATAATAACAAGGAGGATATCAATAATACAAGCAGTTGTCATTCATCATTATTTACAAAGTTCTTCCAATTCTAATAGCAATTCGTCATCGTCAACCATACTGGTCTCACCAGCATCATCAACTAGATCATCCAATTCAATGTTGAAAATAGAATCCTGACTTTCTTGACTGGCATTCAGCTCTGAACGACTGAGAGAGAGAGGGAGGGAGGGAGGGAGGGAGGGAGAGGGAGGGAGGGAGGGAGAGAGGGAGAGGGAGAGGGAGAGAGGGAGAGAGAGAGGGAGAGAGAGAGAGAGAGAGAGAGAGAGAGGGAGAGAGAGAGAGAGGGGGGACAATCATTTCAATCTCATACAATCTTCCCTTACATTTCTGCAGTCATCTTTGCAATGTTCTCAATAGCGGATTCTTGATCAGACTTCTTAGCCACTTTACAAGCCGGTCCTCCATCAGTCTCCTCCTCCTCTTCTTCCTCCCTCTCCTCTATTACTGGACTAACAGACTGCGACGATGGCTCCCTGGCCAAAGGTGTCTCTACCCCCTCTCCTTCGACCAATGCACTGACACTGGTCGTAGACGAAGGACGACGGAGTATGATTTTCTTTCTTTTCCTCGGGACTGGTTGAGGAGGGACTTGACCATCTGATAACAAAGAAGGCTTATCTGTAAAGATAGTAAATAGATCATTTATTAAAAGTTATTAGTAGTTATTAATAGTTATTAGTAGTTATTAGTAGTTATTGATAGTTATTACTAGTTATCAATACCTTTGGTAGGAGAGATTTGAAATGTGAACTCTTTGAAGGTCGTGATTGAAGCTGAGGCCCCATTACACAGTACAGCTGTAGTCGCAAGAGGAGGAGGAGCAGCAGATGAAAGTATGTTTGGTGACTCTGAGGAAGACTGAGTGAGTTTAGTAGCAGCACTACTGGTAGTAGAGTAAACATCAGGAGTAGAGATAGAGTGTGTTGTGACTGGAAGAGTGAGTAGTGAATCAGTAGATACGTTAGTAGTGGAGAGATTGATGTAGTTGGTGTCTTCATTTGTGTGAGGTATGGCATGATCCAGTTTGAATGGTCTAGCGACTCCTGACGTTGAGAAAGGAGAGAGAGAGAAGAGTTGCTGTTTCTCTTTTTCTTTTTTTATCTCCATGAGAGATTTGACTTCGATGGAAGCAACTTTCTCAGAATTAACTAAGAGAGAACAAATGAAAATATAATAAATACGTACACCATCAAAATACCAGCTGTCATTACTTATTTTGATGCATTCCTTAACTCTCTCCTCTTTAGACGGAGGAGAAGGACGAGGTTTAAAGTGCTTAAAAGGACAGTGACTCTTGAGACAGCCTGAGGGCTGATTCTCCCAGTAGCACGGTATTGACGCTCTCTGCCTGTTGGGTGGGCGGGGTAAAGGGTGTGGTCACAAGGAGTACATACACAAACCTGTTTGAGTTTGAGTGTCTGAAAGCACATGCTTGGCGTTTGCACTTTCCTTCCTTCCAAAGTTGACAGATTTCTTCGTTACCAATAGCAGCAGAACAATGTCTAAATTGACATTTGTCACCCTACAAGAGAAAAAAAAAGAAAGGGAGGCAAAAAATAACAAGGAGGAAATTCAAAAATTTGTTACTTTGGAGCAGGTGGAATAAAAATAGAAGTAACAGTCTTCAGCGGTTGGATTCATGTTGACACATTTCACGTCTGAAGCTGAAGCCGAAGGAGGTAGTGTAAAGAGTGTAGACTGGGGATGAGTTGGAACTTGTGAAGGAAAGGACGAGCTGTGTAATTCACCTCCAGCAATGGCCGCCATTTTGAATCCGAGTTTATACTGTATAAAAATACACGTACATGTACAAGTATACGCGATATGGCTACACTTACTTGTGGTCTAGAGAGAGATGCTTTAATGAAGGAGTTTGAAGAATTAGAGACACATTTGTAGCCTCACTCATTACAAATTATAATAAAAAGGTTATATTTAGATTTTAACCTCATTTCCCACTCAATAAGCACATTTTTCACTAAAATGATCGACATTACTTACCTAATGATGTTGTATCTTCCAAAAAATGTCACAATAAAGTCTCCTTTTCCTTATTTTTATAATAATAATAATGATTTCCTTCAAAATGTGCTGATTTTGCTGAATAATAAGGCCACGCCTTTTAATTTTAAAACTAAAAACACACCTGCTGCGCTGCCGCCAAAAAAGAGGCGGGGCTAAATATAGTTTTTAAAGGGTTAAAAATAAAAGTTGAGGTCTTATCATTTTCTCGAGTCTTTTCTTTTATTTTTTAAAGAAATGGCTAGCTCTGGTGCTCCCCCTCCAATCTCAGAGGACGTAAGGCGTCAAAAAGCTCTTGAAGATTATAGAAAGAAACTTATTGAACACAAAGAATTGGACTCAAAATTAAAGAAAAGTGAATTAATTAATTTAAAAATTGTATATATAATAATTATTTATGCCACACAGTGAGAGAGGAACTAAAAGAATTGTCAAAGGATTACGATAAAAGTGAAGATGATTTGAAAGCTTTGCAAAGTGGGGTTGGCCAGATAGTAGGAGAAGTCCTTCGTCAACTGACTGAAGAGAAATGTATGAAAATCATCTACTATTATTATTATTATTATTATTATTATTAAATTAGTTATTGTTAAAGCTTCCAATGGACCTCGTTATGTTGTCGGCTGTCGACGACAGGTTAGCAAATTAGTTACATGATTAATTATATTTGCATAATTAATTGTTGCTATGATCACAGCTACATTAACAAATCTATGCACACACACACACACACTTATAAATAAGTATAAATTATATTTTGTATAACTGGTATATTTATACATGAAAAGATCACAAGTTTTTTGTGTTTATTTTCTGTCATTTTGGATACTTAGCACCTTCACCCAGTGACTTATACCCAGTCACTATGTCTTACAATAGGTTGATAAGGGGAAGCTAAAGCAAGGCTCACGGGTTGCCCTGGACATGACCACGCTGACCATAATGAGACAGCTACCACGTGAAGTGGATCCACTCGTTTACAATATGACTGCTGAGGACCCAGGGGATGTGTCCTACTCGTCTGTCGGAGGACTGAGCGAGCAAATTAGGGAACTGAGAGAGGTTAGCCATAACTTTAATCATTTTAATTTTAATTCTTTCCCTATCTCTCTCCTTTCTTTCTCTCAAGGTTATTGAACTACCTTTAATGAATCCTGAGTTATTTGAGCGTGTCGGTATAAAAGCTCCCAAAGGTTGTCTGCTGTATGGCCCACCTGGTAACCAAATCTCTTCATATCATAAAGACTAATTATTAATATTATTTTAGGTACTGGTAAGACTCTCCTGGCACGAGCAGTTGCTAAGCAGCTGGACGCTAATTTCCTGAAAGTTGTATCAAGCGCCATTGTTGATAAGTACATAGGAGAGAGTGCAAGGCTGATCAGGGAAATGTTTGGTAAGAAGTAACAGCTGCTTTATATTTAGTACAAAACTTGATTGTTTGTTGTGTGTAAATTCTGTAGCTTATGCAAAAGACCATCAACCTTGTATTATATTTATGGACGAGATAGACGCCATTGGTAAGTGGAGAGAGAGGAAGGAGGGGAGGGAGAGTTTTGTACTTTTTAATGATCCTCTCTTTATTGTAGGTGGTAAGAGGTTCTCTGAAGGTACTTCAGCTGATCGTGAGATACAGCGTACCCTCATGGAACTGCTAAACCAGATGGACGGGTTTGACTCGCTTGGTCAAGTAAATAAAAAATAAAATTTATTTATTTATTTGATTTGTATGTGTGTAGGTTAAAATGATAATGGCCACCAATCGTCCTGATGTACTTGATCCAGCTCTTCTCAGACCTGGCAGATTGGACAGGAAAATTGGTCAGTACATCAATTAATAATTATTAAGTAATGAATAAATTAACTATTAATTAATTAATGTGTAGAGATCCCACTACCTAACGAGCAGGCTCGTCTTGATATATTAAAGATTCATGCATCACCAATAACCAAAATGGGGGAAGTTGGTAAGAAGAAACATGAAAGAAAGTGTTCATTGACTCTCTCTCTCCAGATTATGAAGCAGTTGTGAAACTATCTGAAGACTTCAACGGAGCTGATCTAAGAAACGTCTGCACCGAAGCAGGTAAGACTCTAAACTTGATCTCTCTTTATGCTCATATGTACATGTAAATGAATATTCTCTTTATCAGAATTATTTCTCTTCACACACAGGTATGTTTGCTATCCGTGAGGATCGTGATTACGTCATTAATGAGGACTTTATGAAGGCCGTGAGGAAAGTATCCGACACCAAGAAACTAGAGACCAAACTAGACTATAAACAAGTTTAAGGACAAGGTGTAACAATGGCTGGTTGATAGGGCAATAGACATCAAGCATAATTAATGCTAATAATTATGAATTATAATAATAATTATGATAAAATTACCTCAAATTTTTAAGGTGTTATTATAATAATTATTCTGAAATAGAGAGTTTATTTTAAAGTCTGTGGTGTCTCTCTTCTCTTACATACGACATTTTTCTTTAAAATTATAATTATTTGAAACTGAAGATCACCGTTTATAATAATAATAATAATAATAATAATAATAGTGACAGAGAGATGAGAGCGGTTACACTGTAATACATGTATGCAACTGTTTATAAGAAAAAACAATAACAATAATTCATATCATATATCATACATCTATGTAGAGTCTGGAGGGTTAAAAAATCAATAATAATAACAACAACAACAACAATAATAAATAAAGTTAATAATCTCAGATGAGCCTTGCATTATTAATGTATTTGATGATGACGGTGTAGAGGAAGCGATACTGTCCAAGTGTCTGTACCAGGTGCATTCTCTGAAGACGCAATCGAGCTAGAGAGGACTTGATATCAATTACCTAATGAAAATAACAACAGTAATAATGGTAATTAATTACACTTGTGGCATAATGACTGTTTTTAGTGAATTTTGCTTGTAAAGGGTACGTTGTATTTCATCAAAAATGGCTAGGGAGAGAATTCTCCATTTTTATAATTTTCCCTGATGCATATACATGTTTTCATGTTGTGCTTCAAATTTGAGGTGATTCCAATCAAAATTGGATTTTTTATGAATTTTTAAAGTTGCTCAAAAATCGGGCCAAAGTCCCTGTACACGGTCTCGGGCCAAAGTCCCTGTACACGGTCTCGGGCCAAATTTTGCCAAAATTGAAAAGAAGAGAATTCTCCATTTTTATAATTTTTCCTGATGCGTATACATGTTCTTATGTTGTGTTTCAAATTTGAGATGAATCTGATTAAAATTGGATTTTTTAATGAATTTTTAAAGTTGCTCCAAAATTCCGATTGTGTACTACATTCTTACTACACATCAATTCTTGGATTAATTATCATTTTTATTTACATGCATTTCTGCCCTACCCTGTCTTGATCTACATCTTACAAAAGCATTCTTCATAATTATCCATCCTCCCTCTCGTACCAATAATTCCTGGTAACCGTAATACCACAAGTTCGTGTAATTATACTCATCTTAATTCATTCTAACATATTGCGCATTCTTTCTTTTCTTACCTCTCCACAGTCATAGGTCTCAGTCAACATGTCCGATAATACCAGGACTCCACTCCTTCCCACTCCAGCACTGCAGTGAACGACAATCGGTATCGACTCGTCAAACTTGTATCGAAGAGATTTAACCATTCTAAGATAACCTGAGCACAATCATAGAAAGAAAAGCCATTGTTAATTATTAAGAATGTGGGCCAATTAAGAGAAACTTTCATCTCTTTCTCTCCTCACTCTCTTTCCCTCTTAGCTCACTTATAAAAGGTTGTGGATCTGGCGGTATCCCGTGGTCCGGCCAATCAATGTACTGCAAGATCATTATTTCTCTCTCCTGTGGGAGGTGTGGTCTATTGTCATGGTTACAAAAGGATGGACATACCTCGCTCGTTGGCATGTAATGGACTGTAAAACACCTTGTGATTACTGATGGGGATTTCTCCACAAACTTAGTTGAGATACGATACTAAGAGAGAGAGAGAGAGAGAGAGAGATGGTTATTTTAATTATACAGTGATTTTGATGTTTAAGGACTGTACTTGTTCAAACTGGACGTGCTTTGCATTTTCTTCATCATTCGGAAAGTACTGGTGACATTTTGTCTTTCCGTTCTCCTGTAAAATAAATGACACACTCAAATTACTGACCAAAAGCCACCTCACTCTCCATACATGTACATGTACTGCAGTGTCACGGATTGTGTGTCTTACTATTATGTTTGTCAGCATTAGTATTAGTTGTGTTTTCTGTTCCCAAATCATCTGCCAGAAATCACAGCAAGTGATTTCAAGTGGACCCTGACAGACAATATAGCTACGGTGCTGCGACCCAACACTGTACTATAATAATAAAATAACAATAAATAAATAAATAATAATAACAATGTTCACGTATACATTAATGTACATGTACATATACAATGTACATTAATGTATTATACAGTTGCTTACTGATACTAGACTTGCGTTAATGTAATCATTAGATCCAGTGTTCTTATTAGGATTCAATCTAATTCTGTTATGCTATAAGAATGAGAGAGATGCAGTGATGTAATGTATAATGATACAATGGGCACATTGTGTAACAGTTAAATCACACACAAACAGTTACTTCATGTACAATGTGCTGTACCTCATAAGGAATGATGTCTTTATATCTGTTCTTTTTAGCATTAACGGGATTAGAACCAGCACTAGTATCAGCATCCTGTTCACATATCATAGTAATAATAATTATTTTATGCAATTATTATGTAAGGTACATGTACATGTACAGCTACAGTACATACCAGTGACATTGGGGGTATCTCTTCAAATTCAGGATAGACTTTCCCGGATTGTAGTATCATTTCAAGATGCTGTGCCTATTCAGTAATGATAACAACCATTATAAAAATTATTATGTACACATTCGTACAGTAAATGTATGAACATGTCCTTTCTCCTCTCTCTCTCTCTCTCATTTTCATACTCTCTTGTCTCTTGTTCCACTAGTTGCCTCTTGTTCCCATTGTGTGTCAGGCGAGAGAAGAGGTGGAGGAGTTTTGGTTAGTTTTAGTGTGTTTGGAGGAGTTCGTGAGTCCAACTGGTTCAGTGAAGCTACAGGAAATACAAAAAGGAAGTAACAAAGAAATAAATAATATAAAGGTTACATAATGTACTTAGTAAGTCTTGATAGATCAATATATAATTACATGTACATGTATGTTACTGTCTCTATTTCTCTCTCCTTCTTTCTTTCTTTCTTTCTCTCTCTCTCTCTACCTGATAAATATTCTTTCTTTGTGTGTGAGAGTTCAAAGCTTTCTTGACTTCCTGAGCTGCCTCCATTAGCTGAAGAGACTTGATGGTGCATTATCGGTGGTGGTAGTGGATGACTGAGATTTGGAATACTACTAGTAACTGAAAGAGAATAAACACATGTACATGTATAACTATATCAATATCTACACATTCTCTTACCTTCTCCTCCAACAGCATTGTGATGTTCTCTAGTGTCAATAGTAGCCTCATTAACAGTTACCATATCAGTTGGTGAGGTACAAATTGGTTCTCCGATATCAATCCCATCCTCATTCACAGGTATACACTCCAGCACACCTGTCCTCCCTAGCCCCTTCTCTCTCTTCTTCTTCATGGTTGGTTTCTCCTCCTCTTTCTCTCTCTCTTCGGCTCCTTCCATCCAAGCCGTGGGCGTCAAACATGCCGTACTGTCTGAAACGGCCCCTGGAGGTGTGGTCAGCACAATTTCACGTGGTGACAGATCCTCTTCTAATCTGTGAGTTATTTATCATTATATTAGTCATGTGACCTGTCGTGTGACTCACCCGTGGTGCGAGGGAGAGAGTGGTTCCAGTAGACTATCTCTTTTACCCAAAGGTCCTAAAAGTCAATCAATCAGCAGTTAATTTTATTAATCGGTTTGTACTTGAGAACTTTGACTCTCTTTCCTCTGTTTTCCTTAAACTTCCTGCCTCTTTTTTCTTCTTGTCGCTGCAATAACAATAAAATCATTAATTACACTCAGCACATACTTGAAATGCTCTTTTTATTATCAATTTATGTACATGTACATACATACACATTATATGCATCACAAATATGCCACACACCCGTCACAGCTGTGAGTGACAAACAAATTCATGTGCACAATTATACGTGTGATACATGTAATATACATGTACATTTATATCCAATATCAATCATGATATAATAGCATACATACTTGTACATGTATGTGGGGTATAGTATGTACCTTTGTTTCAGTGCATGTAATCGAATATCATTGAGTGAAACTGACTTCTTCTTTCTAATATCAAAAGATAAAGAAAAACAGTAATAACAAGTACACAGCTACACTAGTACATGTATGAAATGTTTACCCATTCCTTCTTGCTATCCATTTGATGTCAAGATACTCAGTTTGGAAGAACATGTGTTGCTGTACCATCATCTCCAGAACATACTGAGCTGTTGGTGTGTCTGCCTGTAAATATACATAATAGATATAAACTCATAAACAACACAATTACAGATAAACAACATAATTATTAATACAACAGATACATATAAATTCATGAACAACATAATTATAATAATACAAAAATTAAGTTCCTCTCTCTCCATTTCTCTTCTCTCTTCCTCACCATCTTAAAGTAGATACTGTCATGATGGGTCTCAATTGCAAAGCATCTATCCTTCACTTTCATCTTCACAATCTCTGGCCACTTGAAGTACACTGTTGGCTGCCCGTTGCTGTGTTTGATAAATATACCAATGAAGCAGGCACCAATCCATATCCTTGTACCATTGACCTCCTAAAAGAGAGAAAGGGGAAGAATTAATACTACAAGCCAGCAGATAAAAAGAATAAAAAATGCACTGTGTGGGCACATTATATTCCCCTAATTATACAAACATTGCTGACAAGTACATGTGTATAAACAGTTCTCACATGTACAGTATGTACTGGGTATTGAATTATTGATGGACTCTGCTGTACTTGTATGGTCATTTGGTCATGTATGGTAGCGGATTGTGTGTACACATTCAATCAGAGATGAAGAGGGTTACACTGTCTCTGTGTGTAAACACTTTGATAGTACACGTAATACTAGCCTAATCTCATTAGAGCCTGTACAGTATGTGGAGTATGTACTTACAATCTCTTGTAGAGGCTCATGTCCATATTCCGGTAGTTGTTGTGCCAATTTTATGTACATCAGCTCAGCAGCAGCTGCTGACATTGTTCTATTATGGTGTTGGGTTTGTAAAAAGTCGAGAGTGAGAAGATGAGTATAATGATGTACATGTATTTACAATCACTAACTAACCTGTGTCTTTGGTATAGTCTTGATACCTTTTGGTGTAGAGCTGGTCCTAAAAATTCTGGCTCCATTGACTGTGAGAGAGAGAAAGAGAGAGAGAGAGAGAGAGGGAGAGGGAGAGAGAGAGAGAGAGAGAGAGAGAGAAAGAGTGAGGGAGGGAGGGAGAGAGAGAGAGAAGGGGAGACAGAGGGAGAGAGTATTAAGGAGGCAGTGAGTCTATATATGTTGATATTCACATGTGTATAGTATAGCAATTACACACAAATCATATTCCATTACAATATCAATTAAACGTATAGCTCACAGATGGGAAAAGAATGTGATCATCAAGGAATTCAGGAGTATGGATGAGAGCATCGTAATCACCAAACTCAGCTAGAGGGAGGGAAAGAAAAGAGGTTCTCATGTAAACAATGCAATAAAGAAAATATGTAGGAAATGCAAATGAGAAACAATAATTCTGTGTACAATATGTACATGTACATGTACAATGTAATGTATTGTATGTACATGTACATGTACTGTACCTTGCAAGGCATAGGATGCCAATTTGACTGCCATGTCACTGGAGCACTTCAAGTCTCCCTTTATGACACTGTGCTTCAACTGAAGAAAGTACAAATACCTGTAGAAATTATAAGAATACATGTAATAATGCCATTGGGTTTATCCTGGTAAATTAAACCCTGTACTGTACATGTACATGTATGTACGTGTACATCCTTTTAATCTATTGCAGTAGAGGCTTCTGTCATTTGTCTGTACATTAAGTTTAAGAAGTTGAAATAGTGAAGTCATTACAACTAGCCAATACACACACTGCCTGTGCATGCCCATTGGATTTGCTGCTTAGTCAATTAAGAAACAGAATTAGGAAATGCTGCACAAACAATTACCAGGCATAATACTCACACCCAATAAATAAAAAATAATAATATAATAATGATATTTCGTTAAGAGCGATCAGGACGCCATCATTGTCAATTAATTATAAAAAATAATGAAATTACGACTTTTAATCTCGTTATAAATACCTGGTCACTTCGTACTCCAATTTGCTGATGTTGGTCACGTAGTACTGGACTAGAAACCTCAACTCAGCATTTCTGGCACCAGCTCCGCCCACGTGATGCTTGTCAAGTTGCTTCCGGAGCGATTTCTCTCTGTCCACCCACCGATCGTAACCATCCTTACACTGATACTGGAGACCAAAATAATCAATCTACAAGCAAGAAAGAACGTGAGAAAGCAACTTAAAATTGCTAAGTTAAAAACATAAATTTAAAGAGAGTGAGAAAGAGAAAAGCAAATATGGAGAGCAATAAAAAATAGCTACAGTACATGTACATGCAGTCAGTAGACACTATAGTGTAGTGATTAACGTTATAAAGTGATATTTTAAAGAAATCACAAGTTGTTAGAAGAGACATAGATAGTAGGTGATTGTGTATATGGATGGCTAATTACGCTATCCTATTAGTAGTAGTTCTCACGTCAACTCATCGTTGTTGACACTCTAGGTAGGCGCAAAGAGGCGAGAAATTCCACTAGGATAGTTTACAAGAAACAGACAGAGAGAAAGAATTCTTGTCCCTCCCTAGACTATTATAGTGTTTAAATGAGAGTAGATTGACATTGTTAAGGAATGGTATGATATTTGTTGGTCCCATGTTGTTAGTGTAACTGATGTGACTGCCAAATGCCATTAGCATGGCAACAATATACAGTAACTCTCCATGTAACAAATAACAAGATCACGGAGTACATTAACTGTGTTATTGTGAGATGGTTTGTTGACATTTGAGAGAATGCGAACAAATTGATCGCGCACTAGACTGAAGAAAAGGAGACAGTAAGCCTAGTTGCCAAGTAATGATTACTAAACTGTACAACTACTGTATATTTAACAACAAAATACCAAAATTACCGCACAGTTGTGTACTACAGATGGGGTTTATTCAATATTGCTGACGATACAAAAGGTACATGTACTTGACTTGTTTATGCAGACCAATGATTAGTACTGTTATTATTGATGTGTATTCAAGCATAGCAATTTTATCAAGAATCTTGTGTTAGTGTTACTTATAGTTCTTTCTGAATACAGGCCACATTCCAGGGATGTTTGTGGGCAAAGTTGTAAATAGGATTATCCTATTGCAATGCAAACTGATAAATTATTGAGTTACTACTACAGGCAGTAGCCAATACAGCTATTGCTTAAAGACATACACTGACATTCCAATGGAGGAGGGAGGAAGGGAGGGATAGAGAGGGAGAGAGAAGACCAATCATGGAAGACATTAATTACAGAGTGATTTCATTCTGATGCCTAATGGTCTATAACATGCTGCTACTTGTGGTGGCAGTAAACAGAGGTATATTTTGTTAAGAATGGTAGACCTACCTACATTTGTATGTGATATTACATGCATGTATGCATGGTGTGTTGATGTGCTATGGGTGTACATTACACTCAGTATAACAAACAATATGCCAGACTATTGATAATTAAACATGCAAGAAATGGAAGCATCAACACGACTGACATCTTTTCCCTCTCTCTCCTCTCTTTCTTACCTCAAAGATGTCCATACATTGTGCCACTCTCTCCAGACAGTCTGCTCCTGTAACGTCAGGTTGAAGGTTGATCTCTATTGATGTGTTATCAAGCAGAACGATCTTTGATACCCAAGAGTTCTTGGCCACATTGTAACGTTGGCTCTTCCGAAACAGTCGTGGCATTCTGAATATAAAAGAGAAAAGTGCACTACTGCATTTGATATGCTTGTCTATTTTTACCTGATTATGAACCTCTCTTGTAGATTATTACTGGCAAAGGTAAACCAGGAGCAACAGCTTGTGTCCACGAGCCTTGGTTTCACTAGACTCTCTTCTTATCAACGCGTCCCTCGAGTTCAAAATAAAACCAGGGCAGGGCTTGTACTTCGGCGGGACACTCGGTTATTCCTTGTTCCTGCTGTACCGCAGCGAGCAGTTAGATTGCTATGGTCGTCTCCCTTCGTCTTTCCAGGGGACGGCCAAACACAAATTCCTCTCTCTTTCTGCTTTTCCACTCCAATGTAAGCTTGTTATTATGATATGCTCCACCACTAGAGATCCACCCAAAATAGGTTGCCCTAGCTACGCCCATTTGCCTAACACCCACGCAAAATATGAATAAATTATCATCTAATTTACTCCTGGGGAGGAATATTCTAAGATTTTACCTCCCGGGTCACTGGCCCGCCTCCACAATTTGAATTTTAAATTTTTCAAGCTGAAAAAGGCGCCATATTGTACCTCTTTAGTTTAGTTTCTCTTATTTCTTTTATGTTAACTTTCTAGTGGCATCTTTTACTGTCATGGCTGACATCCCTGAAAATCTGAGTGACTTCAAGCGTCCACGGCTTCAAGCCTTGTGTAAGAAATACAAAATCAAAGCAAATATGAAAGTGAATACTAAATATATGTAAATATTTATTATGCATATTTTTCCCTTCAGAATGTGGAAATGATATCAGCATTAAATGAGGAAAGGGATAAATTTTTTCGTGAACGTGAGCCCATTAGCCAAGAGCCTGACGAAACTATAAAGTAAGGAAATATTAATAATTATTATTACTATATTTAATGATAATTCTCTAGTGATGAAAGAGAAGAGGAAGCCACAGAACACTCAATGGAAGAGGAAATAGGTGGTATTGGGAGGAGCTTACCAGAGGATTGCCCTCAAAATCAGCCTACACCAGACCCAGTGAGTGTACCAGACCCAGTAGCTGTACCAGACTCGGTGACTGTACCAAACCCATTGACTTTACCATGTGATTCAACGACTGAGTCTTCAGTTAATGGTAATTTATCATTAATATTATTATTCTTATTTGAGCTATTAATTTAGTAATAAATACTGTAATAATTCTAAGAGTATACATTATCTACATGAGTTCCCATTTATGGTTTGGCCGCAACTTTAAAAATTTGTGAAAAATCAAGTTTTGATTGGAATCATCTCAAACTTTCTACACAACATAAGAACATGTATATGTATCAGAAAAAATTATAAAAATGAAAAATTCTCTCCTAGTCATTTTTGGCGAAATTTGGCCAAAGACCCTGTACTATAGTACAGGGACTTTGGCCTGATTTTTGAGTAACTTTAAAAATTCATAAAAAATCCAAATTTGATTGGAATCAGCTCAAACTTTCTACACAACATGAGAACATGTATATGTATCAGAAAAAATTATAAAAATGGAGAATTCTCTCGGAGCCATTTTTGACGAAATACCCTGTACTATAGCCCATGGTCTCTGGTCAAATGCTTATATTGTCATCAAGTTTTATATTGTATGGTTTTTAGGTGATTCTTGTAAAGACGTTGAGATTAACATAAAATTGAGTTCGTCTCTCTCTGAGACTAAACAAGATCAAAAGAGCAGTGCTATCAGCCTCAACTGTGAACCCAACCCAGATTTAAACAGTAACATCAACGTACGGGGAATATGTGTCTCTCCTCCGAATAAAGATCCTGTCAAGGAGAAGACACCAGAGGCATCTTTTGAAGCTAAAGACATGTCCTCCATCAGTAACATGACTTCTATTGCTAACGCTGCTACACCTAATATCTCTTCCTTTAACATGGCTTCTCTTGCTAATGCTCCTACCCCTGACACCTCTTCTTTCGTATCTGATGCCGACCTTACTGATAACAACGTTGTCTTGAAAGATCCTGTTCCTATTAACAATGAAGGTATTAATACTGAGGGTTGCGAGAGGTCTTCAAAACATGACGAGACTTTTACCATTGAGACGCCAGAAAAAGACATTGTCCCACTTTTGTCCGGAGTGACGGCTTTTAAAGAGTCTCTGAGTCTCACACCTATACAGAAACCAAGTAAGAACAAGAGAAACTGAGAGCTTTGATGAGTGGTGAAAGGGAATTAACAGTTTGAGAGATTGAAAGAGAGAGAGTACTGTGAATACACTACATGAGGAGATGAATGGTAACTTCAATTAATGATTCCTGTGTTAGGTACTCCGCTGAGAGGGGTTTGGGCTTTAAGAGAGAGCGAGGATACTCCGTCATTTCTTGTTGATGCAGACTCATCTCATGAAGCAGGTGTTGAACCAGGTGCAAAAGAAGAGAATACAGGAGAGAATAAAGAAGAAGAAGAAGGAGCTGAGCCTGTTGGAGAATGTCGTCCTGTAAACGTAACTCACGTAATATCTGAAGAAAAAGAGAACACGGAAGAGAAAAAGTGAGTCCAGTAATCCAAGTTCTACTACTACATTGTACATTGCATGTACATGTACATCATTTAATGTCAGATCTAGAGGGAGTTTAGGAGACTTTTGGTTTCCATATAATTTGGTTTAGGCCTCCTGAAATCTGTAGCTTTTAGCCTCTCATATTTAGCCTAGGTCTCCTTAAGTCTTGGATTGATCTCTCAAAATTCATTTCTAGATTCATAGCAATATGCCTATAGTGACTATGTGTACATATTCTTTTACTGTTTGTTTGTGTGTGTGGCTCAATTATCACGTCTTCTGTCTGATATCATATTGATGCTTGCATGGCTGTCTCTATGCGTGGGCCATAGGTTGTTGTACTTTTATTTTCACTGTGGCCAGTGTGTGGGTGGATGGACGTGTGTCAAAGCTAATAATACAAGCGACAGAAAGGAGTGGATAGAGTAAAGAAAGAAGGGATGGTTTAGAGAAAAAGTCATTGACCATAAAGGGTATTGTTATTACACTACTATTTTATTATTAAGTTGTTCCTGCCCACACCATCAGCCAGTCAGTCGAGGTATTGTGTGTAAATAAAGAATAAATGCTTAGGAGCTCTTCCTGTTTACTGGCAGCTGGTATAGTGTAGGGGTTTCCCTCCTTTTCTCAATCCTTATATGTGTATGTGTGTAAATTACCTTCTTCATTAAGAATTTTAGGTGCTAACTCATTTTTAATACTATAACTCATTTACGGTCAAAATTATACTTTCCCCCATTACACTTTATTATTGAATTCGTTCTCATATGCAGCTATCATGAGGAGATTATGAGCCTCCTAGAAAAAAGAGTAGAGGAAGCCAGTAAGTATAAGCATAATGTGTTAATGTGTGCCTGTATAGTGTCATTTCTCTATTTTATTTATTTATAACAGAGAGCAGACCTGATTACGTGCCACCACAACCAACTAGAATACCTATCAGTACCTCACGTGTCCCTCAGACTAAGATAGCACGCAAGTTTGATGCAGCTCATTCCAGGGAATTTGCAAAGTAAGCACATTAAATTAATAATATTATTATACCTTGTGTCATGAAAATACCATTTCAAAAATTGAATTATGATCCTCAATTTTTGCATGTCCTTTCCTATAATTTCAAATAATTATAACTTACATGTATTTGGTACATGTATAGTATACTGAATTTGATCTGTTTTTGGTATTAATTTTTACTTAATTCTCCCTTGTTATAGAATGAAGTCTATTACAGATTCTGTACCAAGAACTAAGAGACCACGTGTAACAGAGAGTACCCCTAGCACTTCTGATAATAAAAGACGAAAAGTTGGTGATGTAAGTAAACCTCCACCATATTAGGTGGATCTATTACTTAAGTTTTGATTATAATCATTTCTCTCTTTGTTAGGTACAAAGTGCCCCCTTATTACAAAGTGTAGCAGTGGAAAGGAAAACTCCACGGACAGGTATAATAAATGTACTATCCTACCTCTACTGTAGTCTCATTGCTGTACTTGTAGATACAAAAAGAAAAACAGTTTCTACTCTTTCAACTAAAAAAGTTAGCACTACTTTTACCAAGAGTGCTAAAAAAGGTATTGGCGGGATAATTTTGCCTTGAATTAATGATTTTTAAATCTATTTTAGACGGCTCTCAAAAACCTCACTGGCGCTAGGCGTTAACTTTTGACTTTGGTGCATTATTATTATTATTATTATTATTATTATTATTATTATTATTATTATCATTATAATCCAATTCTTGTATTTCTAATCCAACCTTCACTTGATTTCATTATAATAAATGCAATGTACATAATTATAAGTCATATCAAGTTATTTCAACTGTGGGCGTTATAATTAGGTTTCCCACCAAATTTCATTAAAAATGGCTAGGAGAGGTTTATCCATTTTTATATAATTTTTTCTGATGCATATACATGTTCTTATGTTGTGTAGAAAGTTTGATCTCAAAATGAATTTTTAATTTCCCTTACATCAGACAGCGAGCTATAATAATTGTGTGTGTATTCTTTAAACACACATCCCATCATGTCGATACAACTGGAATCACTGTAAATACAGTTTGGCACGTTTGTAGATGACTTTATAGCTTCCCTGTGTGGGTGCATTGACATGTGTCAAAGTTAATGATGTTAGTAGTTTAGCTACCACTGGCAGTACATCATTTAAACCGCAGCCATTACATCATTTCACATTAGCTAATACTGTGACTATATTTAAACTATGATTTCATGTCAAGTGGGTGTACAGTGTAGGCACAACATACTCATTGATGTTATGGTTTCTTTTCTGATGAGCATAAAAGAGAGAGTGTCTACTACTGCTAATATATATCATTAAAGGCGCATTCAAAAAACTATGAAGATGCTTTATTTTCTTCTTCTTTTGCTCATTGGATCTTTTGATGCCACATCTGCTAGCTGTGACTGTCCATCCAGTGAGCATACTGACTTAAAACAACTAAGAAATTTTGGAACTTCGAATAAATTAATCTCAGATAAACTTGGTGATTCAAGGTTAGACTGATAGTACTTAGTAATCATTATCAATCTTTTTTTAGCAAGCAGATATGTGTTAGCTACACAATGGCATATCTCTCGTTATTTTCCCAGTCATTTTCCTATCCTTCCTTTTCAACTCAAGCTATACAGAATGCAGAAGTTAAGGATTCCTGTGGCCCTAAGAACAGTGACGGCTCCATCGATTGTCAAATTGACAGCACTTCATTTTCACTGGGGCAGTGCTACCCAGAGAAACAATTCTGCATTCATCAGGTAGTGTGTCCATCGAATCACAAGGCATCTTTTCAGTGCTCCAGTCTTGATTTACCAAAAACTGCTAACGGTAGTGTATAGTTGCACACAGTACATAATCATATTATTATTTATTTCGATTATAGGAAAGTGTCTTGATTCTCTCTTTATCGCTAGTAATAGGTTAGATGAGAAGCAATACTGTGGCACAACAGCGGATTGCTTTTCTGGCTTTAATGAAATTGGTGCCAGTAGGATTAGGATTATATTCACTGGTGGGAAGTGCTGTCAGAGATGTGGCTATCGTATCTGGGTTAAGTGTATACCTCAGCCATCAAATACTGGACAAAAAGGATCGAGTGGACCAACTAAAAGAGACATAGAAGAACATGAGGTATGGAATGTTTTATACTAGCTATTATTGTTTTAATTTTTAAATTTAGATTGAGGAAAGAGGTGCCAGAGGGCCACCAGGGCCAGTAGGACCACCAGGACCACCAAGACCACGACCTCCAACGAAAGTAGTAGTACCTGCTGGGGCAGTACTAACTTACAAGAACAGAAAACTAACTGTTAAACAAGGAGTAAGGAAGCATGGCTGAGTTTTTAATGTTTCACATAATAATGTCGCATGTAGACTAAAACTCTTCAAACTAGATGGACTTCTAAGCTTCAAGTGAGGGATGACATAGCCTATGGTTCTGGGGTACTGTTTGAGGCTAAGAGAACTGCAAATAGATCATTTGTAGGCTATGGTAAGCTAACAAATTAGTGATTTAAATTATCAATTTTTAAATCTTCCTAAAGGAATTATGACTATCTATTCTAATCGGATTTACTATCACCAGCAAGGAGTTCCTCCAAATGTATACATTGCCAACTGTTGTATTATGATTTAAACTCTTTAATTGGTTATAATTTTTAGGAAAAACCAACTACAGCTGAGCAAAGATTTATTGACAATGTAGTTAAATATTTGAAAATAGATGACCAATCATCTGGTAACAATTGAAAAATCATAATAATGACATTACAATGATTTGCAGGTGGAAATAAAGGCCTAGCAGGAACAGTTGCTGGTTCCTGTCAGTGTTCAGGCCACCCTGGACCAACAGGATCACCTCCGACAGGACAAAAAGGAGAGAGGGGACCAGCAGGACCAACTGGACCACAAGGACCCCCTTCAGGATGTATGCAATGAATAAAATGATGTTTTATGTCTTTCTTATCTCATGCAGTTGATGCTTTAGCTAAATATTATGCAAAGAACGGTCGCATAGATATCGTCAGGTCTTGGGCCAAGAAATATTTAAAACATAATGTCAAGCCAACATCTCCACCTATAGGACCCCAGGGACCCCAGGGACCTTCTGGGCCACAGTGATCTCTCAAAACTTTTTAAAAGTTTTGTATATTTTGATTTTCCTTTAACAAAAGAAACAAGCTATTACTAATAAATTGAATATCATTAAAGTGCAGCCAGCGATATGCATATTATTAACCACACTAGTGATCATTCAGCAGTTCTTAGTCTGGCTACCCACTCACATTCTTCTAAACCCACTTTGTATGACCATACACAGTAACATGTTTTTCACCTGTTAGACAATTAATAAAGGTGTTCCTACTGAAGAAAAGTATTCTCAATAATTGTAGCAATGTTTGTCTACAATTTTAAGCTTTTATGCTCTTAAATATTCAATGGCTTTATTGACTTAGATGTTCCACTTTAATTTTATTAATAAAGTAGTTGCATATCTCAAGGGATCCTCAGGTTCTTTTTCATAATAGTATCTTAATTATATTTCTTTTGTTATTTTTGCCCACAATTGATGCTCTGGCTATGTATTATGCAGAAGAGAGTCCTAAGCCAATTTTTGCATTCTGGGATGCCAGGTATGTAGAGAATAATGTCAAACCAATGACATCTTCTCCCCCTTCAACTCCTGGAACCAAAGTACCCCCTGGAACCCCTGGACCTCTTGGACCCCCTGGACCTCTTGGACCCCCTGGACCCCCTGGATCATACTGATGCTCAATTAATGGTGAACTCTGTAATGCTGCAGGATAGATCTATTTTGCAGTGTCATTGTTTAAAAATTTAGTTGGTTCATTTGAATTTGCCTAATTTTCCTTACACGCTATTAATATTTATGGCCATTGGGTGTTTATGTTCTTTAACACATCCCATTATGTCTAGACAAGTGTTTGTCGCTGACTAATTAAAGTTTTCGCTGTGTGCTTGCATTGACATGTGGCAAAGTTAATGATGTTAGTCGTTTAGCCATCACTTAGAGTACATCATTTAAACCACATAAAATGCATTCATTCTGCATTAGCTAATACTGTGACTATTTTAAGACTATAATTTTCCTGTTCAGTCGGTGTGCACTGTAGACACAACATTATTTGTTCATGTTATGGTTTCCTTTTCTGATGAGCATAAAAAAGACAGTGTCTACTACCACTAATATATATCATTAAAGGCGCATTCAAAAAACTATGAAGATGCTTTATTTTCTTCTTCTTTTGTTCATTGGATCTTTTGATGTCACATCTGCTAGCTGTGACTGTCCATCCAGTAAGCATACTAACTTAGAACAGCTAGAAAATTACTATCACCAACAAGGAGTTCCTCCAAATGTATACATTGCCAACCGTTGTATCATGATTTAAACTCTTTAATTGGTTATAATTTTTAGGAGAAACCAACTACAGCTGAGCAAAGATTTATCAACAGTGTAGTTAAATATTTGAAAATAGATGAAGATAGCAACCAATCATCTGGTAACAAAGAAACAATCATAATAATGACATTACAATGATTTGCAGGTGGAAATAAAGGGCAAGAAGGAGCAGTTGCTGGTTCCTGTCAATGTACAGGCCACCCTGGACCAACAGGATCACCTGGGACAGGACAAAAAGGAGAGAGGGGACCAGCAGGACCAACTGGAGCACAAGGACCTCCTTCAGGATGTATGTAATGAATGAAATGATGCTTTATGTCTTTCTTATCTCATGCACAGTTGATGCTTTAGCTAAATATTATGCAAAGTACGGTCGTATAGAAATTGTCAAGTTTTGGGCTGTGAAATATTTGGAGCATAATGTCAAGCCAACATCTCCACCTATAGGACCACAGGGACGCCTAGTCAGGCGGAGCCAGACTCTTCGTTTTCCCAAGAGAGGTTTTAGGGACCCCAGGGATTCTGGGGATACCCTGGACCCTGGGGACCCCCTGGACCTCCTGGACCCCCTTCACCCCCTGGGCCTCCTTCTGGACCCCCTGGACATCCCTCTGGATTCCGAGAGCGGCGGAGCCAGACTCTTCGTTTTCCCACCAGAGGTAGGCCCCACCTGACTAAGGAATCCCAGGGATTCTGGGGATACCCTGGACCCTGGGGACCCCCTGCACCCCCTGGACCTCCCTCTGGACCCCCTGGACCTCCCTCTGGATTCCAAGAGCCCCCTGGACCACAGTGATCTCTCAGAACTTTTCAAGCTGAAGTTTTATAAATTTTGAATTTCCTTTAACATAAGAAAACAAACAAGCTATTGCTAATAAATTGAATATCATTAAAGTGCAGCCAGCAATATGCATATTATTAACCACACTAGTGAATTCAGCAGTTTTTTGTCTGATTTCCCACTCACATTCTTCTAAACCCACTTCGTATGACCATACACAGTAACATGTTTTTCACCTGTTAGACAATTAATAAAGGTGTTCCTACTGACGTGCCTATATTGCAGTATATCAAAGCAAAGTGGTTCCCATATAATACAAGAGTAACAACAACAACAAGATTTAGTATATAAGAGAGACAGAATAACTCAACACTTCACAACTTAATATTGCTAGAGTGCAAAGAATGACTAAGTCTATAGTTATTTTTGTAATCTTGGTCACCGTTGGGTCTTTGAATGTTTTTGCTGGACCTTCACCTTCAAAGTTTTGTGCTTGTGGCACTGATGAGCCTAGTGGTGATATAAATGTCATTACTAATGTTCATCGTGCTAAAGGGATCAAGAGAATCTATGATAGGCTGGGGCATACCTCAAGGTATAATAGCATAAAGTGTTTCTTTATGTTGTCTTTCTCCCTGTAGCAAGCAAATGTGTGTCGGTTATGCTGCTGATGTTGATAATAATGGTATAGCAAGCATGA